TCTACTCACATGATGGATATTGCATAGCATCGATTGTATCCACCTGCAGACACTGTAATCAACCCCTAGTTTCTGTAGGGAGTCTACAATGGTGCTGACCTTGATATTATTGAAGAGCCGTTTTCATGGATCTTCCCTTAAAGTACGCATGTTGTGCCTTTGAAATGGCCGCTTTCCCTAGTAGCGATCTTATATAGATGTCTTGGAGCCTTTCCAATGTTTTAATTAAAAGCGAAGGTCTGAAATCTTTTGCTCTTTCGTGATTCTTCCTTCCTGGCATAGGAATGAATACGACTTTCACCCTTCTCCAATTTTTTGGAATGCAACTTAGGGCTTTGAATATAGAGCGTAATAGTAGTATTAGTTCTGCTGTCTTCCCCTGTAGCATTGCCGGAATTATGCCATCACCCTGCAGACTTAAAAGGGGAGAAGCTGCTTATTACATACATGATCTTTTCCCTGCTGACAATTGAGTCCAACACTCTACAGTTTATGGGTACAAAACTAGTGGACTCTGAAGTGGCTGGACCTGAAGGGCAGCCCGAGAAGTGAGTTTTGACTAATATCACCAAGGAATCTTTGGCTGAGCTTGTCCATACACCATTATCTTTGTTTAGCAGCGATAAGTTGGTGTGTTCTTTGGACAGGACTTTGCTGAGCCTAGCTGAGTCCTTGGAGCTTTCTATGGCCGAACAGTAGGATTTCCAGGATTTTGCCTTAGCTTTCCTTAGTTCCTCTTTGTATGACTTTAGTGCACCGCTGTAAGGCGCCCAGTTTTTTGTCTTAAAGCTTTCATTAAAGAGTTTTCTAATGTTGTCTCTCAGGGCTTTGAGTTCCCCATTCCATCACGGCGGCGATTTCTTACGCGCTATATGTATTGGGGTTGGCCTGTCAAAGGCTTTTCTCATAGCTACCTCTAAATCATCTATTCTATTGTCCAGATCCTCGACTGATGTAATCTTTTTATCTGGATTACTTTCACATAGGTGATTACTTAATATCCTATTATAGCTATCCCAATTGGTTCTTCGTGGGTTCCTGTATGCCGAGGAAGTATTGGATATACCGCAAAGGTCAAAGAGGATCATACAGTGGTCAGACATCGACGGCCTGTCTGATACTCTCCAGTTCTCTACGGAAACGATGTCGTTTCCGGACAACAACGTTACGTCCAACACTTCCTCCCATCCAGAGAACCGGTCCGTACTCGGAAAAATAAAGGTAGGAATATTGCCCTTATTGCAAATACTTAGGCTGATGTTTAATATAAAGTGTAGGTAGGACTCACCTCGTTCGTTCTCCGTGGTGCTGCCCCAAACTGGATGCCTGGCATTCGCATCGCAGCCCATCAAAATAATTTGTCTATGGTTTCGCGCTAGGATATCGCTGAGTTCTGGCGGTGGACTGTCCCTATCGTGGGCCATGTAGGACGATACCAAGAGAATGCTGGGCTGGCCTGGAGTTTCCACCTTATCTAACGTTGGGTCTGCTGTGCTATAATTAGAGCAAAGGAATGCATTAATACCTTTCTTGATAAGAATACACGCCCGCGGTTTACCCACCTCGTTCTTGTAGTATAGGTTATAGCCGACTGTGTTGAGCCCCATTATAGTCTCATTACCCACCCAGCGCTCCTGGATTAGACTAATCTCAATATCCTCCTCGCTGAGAAGAACGGCTAAATTATCTGTAGCACACTTCGAATGCTGCAGATTTATTTGTGCTATTTTAAGCTTGGGAATCGGGGTCATCTGTCAGCTTCACTCCCATCAGAAGCTTACCTGCTCCCTCGATATCCTGGTCTTCGTCTACGGGGCTAACCTCTCCTAGGAAAACCCTAATTTTCGCATTCCTTATGCCAAACCGAAGCCTTTAGTCTGCCTTTGCTAGGGCGTCCAGGGATTCGGCGCAGATAGCCAAAAGAATGGGCATACTCGAGGGCCTCCTGGGCTCTTCCACCTTGATAAGCTCCCATTCGTTTATCGCCGGTATGTCCTTATTATGCAGACAAATGCGCGCACGGGGTCTCCTAGGGGTGTTCTTTGCTGGGATCAGCTTGAGCTTCAAGCCGATGAACGCGTCGCTGATCTTATCAACGCATCCAGCTAGGAAATCGTAGGAGAACTAGTCCGCGCATTTGACAACCCGGTACCCCCGTAGGGATTCCGATGAGTCGAACTCTAGGTGGGGACCTTCGGGGTGTCGAGTACGTAATCCGCAACGAGGCTCGATAACCTCACATCAATCTCTACCCATTTTTGCTGCACTGCCAGCAGTGTCGTGCTGTTTTCATCTATGACAGCCGCCTGCAAGTGATCTCTCGCGACGTCGCTGAAATATTGGTGTTTTGAGGGTGCTGCGGGCTCCGCATCTCCCCGTTTTACCTTTTTAGTACCGGGGGGTCCCTCATTCTGAGAGCGGTTTCTCTTCTTGGCCTCCATAGCGATGACCATGTTTGTACGTTCGGTCTGCAACTTCTCGTACTCTTCCACTATTTGCATATATCTAGCCGTATCCTCCTCGTCGCACTCATGTACAATACCGGCCACTGCATTCTTTTCAATCTTGTCAAGCATGAACAGCGCCTTCTGGTACCTCTGCCTTATGACCACACCCGAGGGTTTTTTCTTCTTAGCGGCGGTATTGCTCCCGGCAATGGCCACCTGATTGTTTATCGTTGCTACTATGTCTGGCACTCCCGACACTATTTTTATCTATTTGCAGAGTGGTGGTACTTTGTCTGGCACTCGCCACACTGCTGATTTCTGTTGCTTGTCCAACTGGGGTACTATGGCTGGCACCTCCAGATGTACTTGCAACCGCCTTACCTGGGGATTTGAGGAGCTGTTCCTCAACCGACATGCTTACCTCATCGCTGTTGTTGTAGTTTTAAGTTTTGTTGTTTTTCATCCATGTATGGTCCCACGAGTAGTCCGAAAAGGGTTCAAGTCTTGTCCGCAGAGCCGGGATGCATGGAGAAGGCAATTTTACAACCGACCTTGCCCGGGCATCGGAGGAGACCAGAGTCAACTTTGTATCAATGGATAGTGTAAAGTCTCATTCATATGTTGCTACTTCGGGCCCCATAGGCACCATATTAGGTCCGTTAATTTTCTTAATTTTTATTAATGATGCCAGTGCTTCTTTCAAACAATGTAATCACCTCTTATATGCGGAGAGTGAAATTTTTAAAACTGAAAACGTTACCTGAGTGAGAAGGAAGATACAGGTAGTATAGGGAAGGGGAAAAAGAAATAAAGGGACGCATGACGGGTACGAGTACCTACATATGTATATATATATATTTGAATGCACGTATGTATGTATACATATATATACGTGTACATATATATGTATGTATGAACGAACTCATTGCGCCCCTGCAGTACGGGGGAGCGACTACAGGACTGATGTATCGGTAGCTATAAACTCCGTCAATTACCGACCGACTACATGCAGTGTATTTCATCGATTACTTTTACAAGGCAATGTCCCAGGCGGTAGTCACCATCGGCTCTCTCTGCACTACCGGGAGTTACTAAAGTAGTCACTTGCGTGGTTTATGGGCGCCCTCTGTCGTAGTTTTTCGCTATTCTGTTTACGACTGGTTCGACTCTACACTACCATGTGCACTACCACGGGTCAATAGAGTAGCTACTTACTTAGGAGTCGGTGCAGTGGCCGCTCTGCCGCTACCAAGCAATATATGTATAAATGATGTAAGCGTGCTTCGCGTAACTACCTCCATCCGTACATATGTATGTTCTGTATGGATATATTTATGATGAAGCAAACGGGCTTCGTTGATGTACTGATGGGCATATGTATGTACTTATGGACAGCGATGTAGGGAGACAGAGGTGGCGCAATCAGCAGTACCACTACTTTGTTCTTGGCGAATTTGACAGAATCAGTTGTTCGTGTGACGTCATTTTAGCAAACTGTTTGTATGTATGCAGAGATGTTTATATGAATGTAAATATGGCGACCTCCATGGTTTGTCAGTTAACACTCTTTCTCTCCTCCATCTCCAATTACTCTTTCTTATTTGTTGCTATCTTGACGTCATCACCCGCAGGAAAGCGCAATCTTGTATTCTATCATCCTTGCATGTGTACGGTGTTACACACGCATTTTTTACAATGCTTTCGTGATATCGAAACTGGAGTATGCGTCTGTCATTTGGAATCCTTATTTTAATATGCACTCAAAAAGAATAGAGCGTATACAAAAGAGTTTTCTAAAATTTGTTGGTTGATATGCATACTCTTGATGGAAGACGGACTATTTCTGGGCTCATTTTTGTACATGAAATTCTTAATGGAAGTATTGACTGTCCTTTATTACTACAAGCCAGAAAACTGAATATTCCTGTTCGATCTTTAAGGTATTTTGATATTTTCTCAATAGAATTTTATTCGCAAAATGAGCCTATTTCTAGGATGCTTGGTGAACTCAATGTTTTTATGAAAGGAAGTAGAGATATTGATGTGTTCTCCAGTCGCTGTCTGTAAGGTTCTGTAAAACCATAGACTTAAACAAATAAAAAATGAAACAGGTGACGAAGTAGAGAAAGTTACGTTCCGGCAAGCGGGAGAAACTATGGGGATTTTAGAGGGTGCTGGCCATTTGGACGAAACCATTGAAAAAGCCATACTGTACCGATCACCGTCGAAATTAAAAGAGCTCTTCGCCATCATGTTGAGCACCTGTGGACTTTTAAACCCTTGTAACTGTGGGAAAATTATAAAACCGTTTTTTTAAGACATCGCCTTGAAATTGTGAGCCGCAGAGGGCGAAGAAGGCGGCCATGGACGCACCAGGGTGAACTGGCAAGACATGTCTGCTGAATTTGCTACTGGCGCAGTTGTGCAAGGATAAAAATGTTGCACTTGCTGTTGCCTCCTCAGGAATATCAGCCACATTGGTCAGCCTAGCAAGAATGTGCGAGTCAAGATAAACCAACTTGCTTCATCAGAAAAACCCGTGTTCGAGGGGCTATGTTGCAACAATGCAAATTAATAATTTGGGACGAATGTACGATGTCACGCAAGCATGCAGTCGAGGCACTCGATCTAAGCTTGCAAGATATCCGGGGCAGCCGAATGCTGATGGATGGAGTGGTCATATTGCTCGCAGAAGATTTTCGGCAGACGCTACCTGTCATCGAGCGAGGCATTGGCGAGATAAGTGCGTGTATCAAGGCTTCGCCATTGTGGGTAAAGATGGAAATATTGAACCTCACAACTATCATGAGAGTCCAGCAGTACAATGATCGAGTGTCCGAACTCTTTGATCAAGACTTCCTTGAGATCGGCGAGGTAGATGAACTAATTGGTAAGGTTTTTCCTAATATACAACAAAACTTGCGCAACCTGGCTGGTTACGCGAACGACAAATCTTGGCGGTTAAAAATTAATCAATGGGAAACATCAATAAGAAAATGATTGATAAAGTCCCTGGTGAGGCGCAACATACATGACTGCTGAAATAGAGATGAAAAATAAGGATGCAACAACATATCTATAGAGTTTCTAAACTCTTTAGACTTGTCAGGGGTGCCGTCCCACAAACTGGAATTAAAGGTTGGGGTGCCAGTCATATTGATGCGTAAGCTTGACGCACTTTGCTTGTGCTATGGCACAAGAATATTCATAACGGAACTGAAAAGACAATTGTGCAAGCCACCATTATCGATGGCGGGGCCAAAGGGCAATCAGTGTTGATACCACAAATTCCCATAATTCCCAACATACTATCTCAGTTTAGATATATAATATTTGCAGTTTCCGATAAAAGTAGCCTTTGCGATAACGGTTGATAAAAGTCAAGGACAAACTCTTACAAGTTTCAGGAATACATCTGTGTACTCCACGTATCTCGCACAGACAGCTCTACTTTAACTGCTCGCGTTTGTCGAAAGCCATAAATCTCTATACGGGCAAATCTTTTGTGTCCCTAACCTCTAAATAAATTTTATATATATTCAACAATTTTTATTGAGCTTGAGGCCGATTTTAATGAAAATCGTATTGTGGAAAAGCAACAATAATTTTAAAAAATGGTAGAAGTGATAGCTATTTCGGAAATCACCACATTTCCTCATCAGACTTCTTTCAGTAGGATTCGAACCGACGATCCCACTGACTCAGCCAGTTTCACACGCACTGTGCTAAGTTCGCCTTGTGAATTCTTGTTGCTTTTTTGCACTATTTCATTTGTTTCTTATTAAACACGGCGCCAAGTTCAGTAAAAATTGTTGAATATAATTGTTATAAGGCCATAAAATAACAAAAACAAATAACTTAAGGACGAGCACACCTAAAAGTTAAACAATCTAATAATAAGATTATTAACAAAAATCAACAAAACCAACAACCATACGATCAAGTTTAAATAGCACTGGAATCGCTGCGCTTGATTGTATTTGGCTTAACAAATGAAATAGTGGAAAAAAGCAACAAGAATTCACAAGGCGAACTTGGCATATTGCGTAGGCAACTAGCTGAGTTAGTGGGATCGTCGGTTCGAATCCTACTGAAGAAGTCTGATGAGGAAATGTGGTGATTTCCGAAATAGCTATCACTTATACCATTTTTTCAAATTATTGTTGCTTTTCCACAATAAATTTTTTATTAAACACGGCGTCAAGTTCAATAAAATTTGTTGAATATAATTGTTATAAGTCCATAAAATAACAAAAACAAATAGTTTTATTTATTTAAATTTGACCTTATATAAAAAAATGGGTGAACAAATGTGACGCGTTCTTGTAACTTATTTAATTTTTTTTATTGTAACAATGTCTTTTTAATTTTTATAAGCAATCAAAGTAATGAAAATAACCATTTTGCGTGTCACTTTGGGTACGTTTTGTACTTTTTTGCGTATAACTTTTTCAAACGGAGACTTTCAAAAATCATGACAAATATTGAATGTAATATTGGAAAATGCATTAGGCGTTGAAAAAAATATGTGCTCCTCATTGTAACAATTTGAAATCTGTCACTCGTAATTATCAAAAATTTAATATTTCAAGTTTTCTTCCATTTTGAACTTTTAGCAATTACTAAATTGTTCGTATTTGTTTATATACATATTAATTACACTTTAAAGATAAAAATAAGACCTTTTACAGCTGCATGCCTTTGAAAATACTGAAATTATAACAAATATTGTCTGAACAAGTCTTTGCGTGAGTGGCTTCAAGATTTCCCTCTTTTTTATCGCACATTGACAGACGAAACCATAACAGGTTGGCATTAAGCGTGATCGTTAGATAACATTCTTCATAAAGGTCGTTGAAAATGCTAAATACCTAAAATAACTTTTGTCTAAAGTACGGTCATAAATGTATATGTGTGTATGTAAGGATTTTCAGATATTTCAGGATTTCGTAATTTTTTTTTAAATTGGGCGTGGCCCGCCCACTTATGTCAAATGTTTGTATCTCGAAAACCTTTTCACCATTCTGTACCAAATTGGACATACACATTACCCATGACCTTCTTAAATACTGCTTTGAATATTTTTAAAATCGGCAAAAAACCACGCCCTCTAGCAGTATCGCTAACATTGAGTTTTCGAAAATTATCGTTTTTTAAATATAACTCTTTAAGCATTTTAGAAAAATGTATCACACAAGAGTTAATTGTTTTCTCAGTGGATTTCAAACAATTTGATGTCTAATTTATTTGTGTGCGTTCAATTTGAAAATTTAGGTTTTTTAGCGTTGAATCGCACGATTCCGGAGATTTGCCCATATATACGCCCAAAACGATAAGTCCGGAAACGTTGTTTTCAGAATTTTATTGCGGTAAATTTCATTAATTTGAGTTGCTTAGAATTTTTTTAATTAAAGTTGTTACATTTACATATTTAGATTAAAGGATTTGTTTCCTTCTTTGTTACACTTCAAAGGGTTGCGTTCATATATTTGTGCATTTTCCCGAAAAGCATTTTCTTTTATTACATATACATATGTAGATATGTATGCTATATGGATAATGTTACCAACTATTTCATAGCTAAAATAAGTACAGGTTAGGTTGGATTAGTTTAACGCCGTGAGCCGATTACCAAGTTTCGAATGCGGCTAATTTCGATCCCTGAGAGCTCAGTGTTAGTTCAGAAGTGCGAGCAAAAATGCTTCCGTGTTAGCCTCGCAAAGGTTGGACAGTCTAAAAAAAGTGTGGAGATGATTCTACTTCATCTTCCTCTTGACAGCTGATACAAAAGGGATCAGTTGAAATTCCTGGTCTTACCGCTTGAATACCAATCGCACAATGGACTGTACGAATCCCCATCACTAGCCCTTGAGAGGTAACGTGGTATTCGGCACCTTTAAGGGGTAATGATGGGTCACTCGTGTCTTGCGCTGCAAAAAGTATTTTAAAGTACCCTATTAAAACATCTGCTGCAGCAGAGAAACGTCTTATATTTCTTTTTTATATCACAAAAGAAGCATCACTTTCTATTTTCCTTTTTGTTAGGTATTTAGTAGAGTATGCAATTTCATTATCGCGAGTACGAAGTAACTGCCTTTCCAAAGCCAGAACATCAGCGACACAGTTTCCCGCGATCTCACTGCGACCCGGCACCTAAAAAGGAAGAAGTACCTTAGAAGTACTATGACGCGATCTATAGAAGTCAGACATTCCTTTACCGATTTCACCCTTTAGCGGTGAGTCTACCGCTTTCTTGATGGCAGCTATTTCCACGAGAAAGGCACTGCAGAATTCCGGAAGTCTGAACAGATTTTTGGTGGTTTCTGACAAAAAACACCTCCACCAACCCTGTCCCCAAGTGGGGATCCGTCAGTGAAGAAGCTCACCTCTTGTACTTCCTGGTAAGCACCACCAGTTCCATCTTGATGGGATTTACTGCGAGGCTTCCGTTGATCGCCCACCTAGTTACCTGGTACAGGTAACCTTGAGCCAGATTAAAATGGGTGTATAGAAATCGGCCCTTAACCAAAAGTTCCCCATGATCTACGTAGGCGATCACCCGCAAGCCCACTTTTTCCAGTTCCTCTAGAAGGTCGCTTACAGCCGCAATCCAGAGGAGGTGAGAGAGAACACCACCTTGCGGAATGCCCCACTGACTCTGCTCTGAGTGGAGGCGCTCCTCCACTCTCCCGCGACAGTTCTGTGACGAAGAAAGCTGTAGATAAGCCTGATTAGGTTGACTTGACTATTACCTCTAGTGGGATGAACGCAACACTGACTACCCAAGCCTTGGGGATGTACCCGGTCCTAACGCAGTTCGCATAAATATAATACAACTAATTGTACGACTTCTTCAGAGCCCTTTGTAACTGCGCAGGTAGGATGCCATCAGTCCTCGGCGAATTTAATAGTTTGAATGAATTTATAGCCCAGGCCATGTGACGATCGTCCAGAAGATCGGAGAAGTACAGGGCCTGAAGTACAAAATATCGCAAAGAAGTACATTTGACTGTAGTTCGAAGTGCGAAATACAAGAGCTGAAAAAGAAGTACTGTACTTCCGAAAGAAGTACGATTGGTCACATTATGTATGCATAACAAAATGCATAGCCAAACCAAACGCGGAAAACATCTCCCATACAACATTGTTGAAAATTTTCGTGACAGTTTATCTTGCATCGTTTTTTTCTATTCATGAGCGGCCGACATCGGCAATGTTCAGACTTCTCATATTTGAGTGAGAAGAAATTTCTTTGCTTTTTACGTTCGCGAATAAAATACAGTGGAAAATTGTTTGTTGATCTTATTCCGAATATGAGCCGTGACAAGTTTGTTTGCATTTTTCATTCGCGGTAAAAGAACGCTGAATTAAATTTGGAATATTTTCGATAAATAAGAATTTCCGAACCCTGGTTATAAACATGTGTTCTGACTCTGTTTTAGAGGGCAAGGCAGTTGACAGCTATGCTATTTACAATAATATATCTGTTCATATAGATATATGTACCTATGAAAGCGCGTACATAAATATCACACCTTTAGGGGTCTCACTATATGCTAATTGAAAGTCAGTTAGGTAATAGTTTTTCTGATATAAGAGTACAAATCGAAAGTAGCAAAAACATTAGGGCTATTCGCGATTCGGTGCATAAGAGCTGACAAATTTATGCAATTGCAGAACAAAACAATTTTTGTGCATCAGCTTTGGTTTTCTTTAAGAATGCAATGCATAGCATTTTTATGCTATGGATTTTCGGTATTGCAAATTTGCCAAGCCATGACAAATGCAAATGCGTGTATTTTGTTTGTGTATTGCAAATAATTTGCAATACAAATTTGCAATGCAATGATGCTAGGCCATTTGCACCGGATCGCGAATAGCCCTATTATATTAACCAGCACAATACACGCCAATTTATAAATAACCAGTTTGTAGTTAGCTGAAAACACACTCACTATTTCGCGACATCACCATGTAAAAGTAGTCATGTATAAGCAAGGCAGGCTAGTCGAGGCATTGAGAAATAGGGAACTTATAGGGCATTTATTGTTAATTGAATTCCCTGCAGGATTATATGTAGATATACGTATACATACAATTGTGTAAAGATCTTATTTTTTCTTCTTCTTTCAGAAATTGTTCAGGTCGCTTAGAAATTCAAACTTGTAAGGGGCACTGTGGTTATCCGGTAACTCATTTTTGGCGCCATGCTAACAATGTAATCTTCTTTCAAGCAAAAGGATCGCATGATCATCCAAGACCTGAAGTAAAGGGTTCAACAGAGACTCGACGGCTTTTCGGTAATAGTCGGCGAAACCGTAATGTTTCCGTGGTCCTTACACCTGGGAAAGTCGCACGCAATTTGGAACACAATCTACAGAGTAGAACAACATGCGTGATAAATACTGCCCGGGATTTGAATTCTGTCAATAAATCCACAGCTCATTATTGTAGTTTTTATGAAAGATGTCAAAATATTACACCGTTGGCGCAAAAGCAGGACGTTACAGAGCCTCTTAAGATTTTGCCATCTTCTACTTCATCTTTTACGTCACCCAATTTGTGTTTTGATACCATGTTAACGAGTAATTCGCATATAAATCAAATGGGCACATCAGATTTTCACAGAGGTGAAAACGCATATGCTATGATTGAAAATCGTCAGCCAACATCGATTAGAACATCCTCGAATTCCCCTTATTACACTTCGTCTATGCAGCTTCATCAACTACAACATCGGTCTGTCTTAGCTAAATCAATGCACATAAACTCCGCATGTGAAACAAGATATGATACCCCAGTCCTTCATGATACTCATCGATTTAATGAAGCTTATGATGACACATCAAGAATAACGTCAAGCTCCGGGTATAATTCAGATGAATTTGTTCCTTCATTTATACCATGCTCCACGTCCTCCAGCTCTCTTATAATCGCTAACAATCAACGCCATGAGCTAGCTAGGTCGGTGGCATACTTCGCTGCGCAAACTTCAGAAATATTTAACTCTGTGTTTGAACCAGTTTCAATGCAAGAAAGTCAACTGCCTAATGTTAGCAGTGATCTACAATCGATCGAAGATTATGTATCTACAAGCGCTTATGAAAAAACCCCAGAAAACGCCCAGTTACCATACCAATGTTCAACGTTTGATACTAATCTAAATACTGAGTTTTACTACAGCAATTCCAGCGGCGATAACGGTGTCTGGAACATTTGTATTTAAATGACTTTAATAATCGTGTTTCCTTTTAAAATTACTTTGTACATTCTTATTAGAAAGCATTTAGTAATATACATTTTCATGTTGTCTTGATAAAAATTTGAATTAAAAAGTTACGAATTAAAATTTTAAATATTTATAGAAAAACAGCTGCAAATGTGGCTATACTTTTACGACGTCAATATATGTATGTACATAACATACATGCAAGAGTTTACAAATTACACTACTCGTCAAACAAAAATTCACCAAGAATGAAATTAAACTTTCCTAACGTAGAATTTTATCCTGATTCCGAATATGATAGTTATTTTTCTCATTTCATTTTATATGTGCATCGAAAAGTTGTATTTGTCATTCTGTCGGTTTTACATCTAAAAGAGATTTGTGAAGGAGACTCTAACAACAGTTTTTTCAGAAACCCAAAATATTTATTATCCGTTGCCTTGTTTTGAGATACATTTTTTTTCGTTTTTGTATAAAGTTTTAAACCTTCGGAGGGCGCGCCGCGGCAAATTACCCGCACAAATTTTAATTTGTGGTTTTCAAATACTAATTGTACACTGAAAACGAAATTTCGTAAAAATGCTACGAAAAACTTTCTTAGTTTTGGTTTTTGTACAACGTACGAAACTTTCGTTCATAATACGAACACATTTTTCACAACGAAACAAGATTTTACGAACCATTCGTAAATATAACGAAACGAGTTTCGTAAAGCATTTTTTCAGTACAATTTATGAAAACTTTCATTTATTTTACAAAACACGTGCGCAAATTACCGAAAAAATCTCTTTTTTTGTATATTGTACGAAGGCATTCTTAATATTTACGTGTGGTTTTAAAAATTATCGAAATCTACAATTCTGCATTCGTTTTATTTATTAAATATTTTCATACATTGTACTAATGCAGAAACATGTTTTTAAAATTCGTAAAATAAAAATGTCATTGCGAAATTACCTGTTGGCTGCTGTGAGACATATAATATAAACTTAAACGTTTTATAAACAAATTCGCTGGATAAAAAAAAACAATAAAAAATCAAATACATGGCACTCCGCAAAATAAGCGCCTAATCATAGTAGTGCAATCGTTTCGGCATACTAATGTGTGAAGCTTTTATGTATTTCAATGAAGCTTTGGAGATTACGATTCATAATCATGTTTTCGCCTAATCGCAAAAGCTTCATGAATCGAAGCGCACAACATTGTAAGGCGGTTGCCGTTTTGAAATCGTCATTTATTTACTTTTTTGTATTGGATATAAAAGCTATTTGTTACTTCAATAGGAAATAATTAAAAATAAATTTTTTCGTGCTAAAATTCGTGCAAATTGTATTAAACCACGGAAGTGTGAAATTGAGAAATAACGGCCAGAAAATGTGCTATGTGTAGAATGTGTTCATTAGCTGGTGACTATGCAGGGCGCGCAAGTGTGCAGAAGTTGAGACGCCATGCATTCGTTTCGGCATAATGAAACGATTACTCTACTATTATTAAGCGCGTAATGTGCGGAGTGCCTTAATTTTTTATTTGATTTTTATTCTCATTTGTGGAGCTATCGATGAATCGTAAACATTGCTACCTGTGATTGCTAGCTGGCAAAGATGACTGAGTGAATTTTAGGTTTAGGTTTTTTCTTTTGTTTTGTTGCTTTTTATTGTTGTTGTTTTATTGTTGCATATAAAGCATTGACACATGATCTCCATGTAATGCCTTAGCAGAAAAAAGCAAGCACTGGTGCGCGTGCGCTGCAACAGGTATGAGCAGCATTCGGTACACCGAGAATAAATAATCCAAAACAAATATTTGATGTTTGACCGCAATACAAATTGCATGATAGTTTTCGTTTGGTGGGACTAAAGCTCATTCTTATTTATTTTCTTTCATTAAAATAAATTCTTTTTTTAGATTGAGCCTGATTTCGGCTTTTTATTTGGAACCAGAAATGAGGTCCTTGGTCCAATTTACTTTTGTATAATAGTGTTTGTTTTTTTTGATGTTGGTCAGAAACGGGACTCGGACCCAAAAAAAATTGAATGTAACTCGCAAAATTTTTTTAAGATAGTTGGAAAAGTGAGTTTGTGATAAGGGTCGAAATCAAAATTTGTATTTTGTAAGTATTTTGTCATGTATAATTTTAAAATTATACTTTGCGTACACAGTATTGTAACTATACTATTCATTTCAGGTTTGAGAGGAAAAAGGATGATTTTAAACTTACATATCTGTGTTCATATGGAATAGTAGCTTATGTCGAAAGACTGGCTTTAGTATAATGTGGCATTCGCAGCATACGATTGCGAATGACTCACTGGCGTCGAGCTGTTGAAGAACTTTTAACAAATGAACGTGCAAGAAATAGTTCCGATACTAAATAGCAGGTCAATATTCTTATTAAGTCTCGTCACAAAATTCCTTGTCGTTTAAAGAATAAAGGGAATGCCGCATTATACAAAAGCCAGCTTCTCGACATAAGCTACTATTCCATACAAACACAGATATATAGAAGCGAACCAGCTACACAACAGAAATTGAAAACAGGAATAATAAAACAAAAATTTGTTGTATTAATTGTTTGTTTGGGGAGTTGTTTTAAGCCGACACAGTGCAAATGGTACCAAAGGAGATAATAATCGCTGCCGATCGAAACCTTCCCAGGTGGTATATTTTTCACATCAGCATCAACAGTTTTCTCTAAATCTATATTAAAGTATGTTTACATATCAATATTATCTCAATCAACGCTCATTTTTTAATCACCCAGTTTACACAGGCAAATCTCAGATTATTAGCCGTCAAATTTGTTGTGCTTGTTATTCTCATATCTCAAGGAAAAGTTATGTTTCTTCTCTGTGCCACCGTGTTCACGTTTTTCTGCTATATTAAGCAATATAAATATATTTTAACTCAACATTTTATTAAAAATACTTTTACAAGCCTCTTTTCCTTGCTAGCGTCCATTTTTGTTTACTTTTACATTTGACATTTCTCCTTGTAGTGTTAATACTATTTACTATTGTACTTTGTTCATTTTTGTACTTTGTTATTTTTGAAATTATTGAATTAAGTTCTTTTTCAATTTATGTAAATCAAAAAGAAAATTTTTGATTACTTCAGAATTTTTCTTCTTGCTGAAAGCATGTATATTATTTTGTTAAAGAGATAATTGAAATACATAAAATTAACGTTTTTAACCACACCACAATTGGCGATCCTGCCGGTCTGTAAATTTGCATCTGACTAATTGGCAACGAGGACATACATACAATTTCGGATATTGCTGCGAAATTCAATATAACTAACAGCAACATCGATTGAAGCAACAGAAGTTAAAAAATTAAAATTATTGATTAAACATGTCAACATTGGTTGAATCAGCAAATAAATAATAAGGGCAGTTTTTCTCTACACATTAGCAAATATATCTGTCGCAGTTTTTAACTTCGTCGAGGTCGTTGTCGTAATCAAAGTTACCGTCGAAGATATAGTCACAGTCGCAGATACAGTCACAGTCGCAGGTAAAGTCACAGTTGCGAATACAATCACGGTTGCAGATACAGCCACAGTCAAGTATCATCTCCAACGTTCAATAATGGTGAGCTTATTCAATCAATAATATAAGAGTGAATTATTGTCAGCAAATTCCGAAGATAATCATAAGTTGTGAATTGGACAGATTTGTCCGCACTGTTGAACTGTAGCGAGAAAATACAATTAATTACGACGCGTGCTAGCTACATTATATTTAAGTATACATGTGTATATACATTAACTTATACATTATTATTAAAGTTTTGTTTGTCAACTAAACTGTGAACACCCCTTCTAGAAATTTTTATAACGTTAAAATTGTGTGCACTATGTGTCACTCACCACAACATGGCGCGCACACAACTACACGTACAAGTAATTTAAACGACTCGCTCATTAATTTACAAGATAACACTTTTCAAGAGGAATTAGAAAATCCTTACAGTGGTCGGACTAGTCAAGAAACTTGTGCAACTTCGGTTAAGATGCCGCAATTTTGGGCGAGTTGCCCTGAAGCATGGTTTGTTCATGCGGAAATGCAGTTTAGTACCAAAAATATTACACAAGAAACAACAAAGTATGAACAAACAATTACTGCACTTCCGCAAGAAGCTATAATAACGATTTTAGACTTTATTCAAAATCCGCCAGAAAATAATAAATTTACTGCACTTAAGAAAATTTTAATTGAAAGGAATTCATTAAGTGAGAATGCGAAATTAGACAAAATTTTATCGGATACTGAAATGGGTGATCGTAAGCCCTCGGAATTTTATCGGTCGCTTGTACTGCTTTCTGGTTCCAATTTTAGTCAAGAAATTCTTAAGAAACTTTGGATGGGGAAGTTACCGAAGAATCTAAGCGTGATTTTAGCTAGTTATAATTCAAGCAGTATTAGTGAATTGACGAAATTGGCTGATAATGTTTGGGAGATTATTAGCAAAAGCGAGATAGCTTCAGTTAATGATTTTCAAAATGCAAAAGGTGAAAATGCAGTCATGGCTAATTTGGTTAACACTACTTCTCTTATTTTTAAAAATTTTGAAAAACTTTCTTTGGAATTATGTGAAATGAGGAGGGAAATGAATCAAAATTATTCAAGGTCACGTTCAGTGAATAGGAGTCGTTTTAGGAGCCCTTTTAGATATCGATCAAAATCACGCGACAATCCGAATTGGTTATGTAGATATCATTATAAATTTGGAAACAAGGCTAAAAAATGTGAACAACCATGTGCATTTTCGAAAAATAATAGTCCAACAAACTAAAGTCGTCCGTTGTTGCGGCGACAAACAACGGGAATTTGGACATTTCCACACGTCGCCTTTTTATATTTGATAAAACAAACAAACTAAATTTTTTAATTGATAGCGGAGCAGAAATTTCGGTACTTCCAGTTTCTAAATTTTCGAATACTAGGAAATCTTCAGATATAATTTTAACGGCAGCTAACGGCTCAACTATTTTTACATACGGGAAGAAACTTTTGAATATTAATTTGGGTTTAAGGCGTGAGTTCCTTTTTACATTTTTGATTGCTG